GGTCTTTTGAAGTCTTTGATGCATTTCGAGTTAATTTTTGTGTATGGTGTAAGAAAGTGGTCCAGTTTCGTTCTTTTGCATGTGGATGTCCAGTTTTCTCAGCACTATTTATTAAAGAGACAGTCTTTTCCCCATTGTGTACTCTTGGTTCCCTTGTTCAAAACTAGCTGATCATATATGCATAGGTTTATTTGGGAGCTCTTAGTTCTTTTCCATTGGTCTATGTGTCTGTTTTTATGCTAGTACCATACTTTTTTGATTACTATAGCTTTGTAATACAATTTGTAATCAGGAAGAGTGATGCTTCCAGCTTTGTTCCTTATGCTCAAGAATGCTTTGGCTATTGGGGATCTTTTCTTCCCATACGAATCTTAAGATTTTTTTTTCTTATTTAGTAAAAAACGCTGTTGGAATTTTCATCGAGATTGCATTGAATTTGTAGATCACATTGAGTAGTATGGACATTTTCACAATATTAATTTCTTCAACACCTGTCCATTTATTTGCATCTTCTTCAATTTCTTTTATCAGTGTCTTACAGTTTTCAGTGCACAAATCTTTCATTTCCTGGGTTAAATTTATTCCTTAGGTATTCTTTCCTTTTTGATGCTATTAGAAATGGGATTGTTTTCTTAATTTCTTTCTGGATAGTTCATTGTCAGTGTATAGAAACCCCACTGACTTTTATAGGTTGATTTTTTATCCTGCAACTTTACTCATTTTGTTTACTAATCCTAACAGCTTTTGGGTGGAGTCTTTGGGGTTTTCTATGCATAAGATCACGCCGTCTACAATGGGGACAATCTTACATCTTCCTTTCCGATTTGGATGCCTTTTATTTCTTTTTTCCTGGAAAATCACTCTCCCCAGGACTTCCAGCACTGTGTTGAGTAGACGTAGTAAGAGTGAGCATTCTACTCTTTCTATGCTAAGAAACCCCGATGGCACCAAACGTAGACACGGAATGAGAGCAAACACCTACAAATGCGTGTAGACTCACTGACAGCTCAAGATGTGAACAAGACACAGTGCCTCCCTCAAACTCACACAACTCACTCCGTCACGATTCCCTGAGTGTGAGTCTTGTGATAGATACTGTGCAAGCAGTACTATCGAGCTTACAGTGTGTTTACGGAGAACGGCATCAGTGACATGAGCAAAGAAGCAGGTTCATCGGATGGTAAGTGATGTGGACTTTAGAAAGAAGAATAGGGGACTGGGGGTGGAGACACATTCAATAAAGGGAGTGAGTTAAGTGAAGTGGAGGAAGAAGCCATGAGAAGATACATGGAGAACGCAGTCCAGGCAGAGGATGACACAGGGAAAAGGCTTTAAGAGACACATGACGCACACATACAGTTCATTCTAAGCAGAGCAGATGTTGATGGGAATGATCTTTCCAGGGAGAATGATCTCAGAGCTGGAGTAACGGCAAAGGGTTTGAGTCTGGAGGGGCTGTAGGAACTGACGTTAGAGAGAGAGGGTTTCACGATTTATGTCTCCTTGGTCGTAGATGTAATTCTGATGGAAAGTGGGTGCAAATGTGTGAGCCAGGGAGTGACTGGGCCTGTGTGGCATGGCTTATGTGGGGACAGAACAAAGGGAGTGAGTATAGGGGGCAGGAGAGAAGTTTGGAGGCAGGCAGGAAAGTAGGAAGGTGTGTGGTCGTAGCAGAGAGGACGGTGAGAGTGGCTGGATTCAGGATATATGTTGAAGATAAGGCCAGGAGAACTGTCTCTATCTTGGATGTGGGCATGAGGGGAGACAGGTTCAGAGATTATTCCCACATTTATTGTGTTGAGTGATGGAGCCACCTTATCACTTAAAAAAAATGTTTATTTATTTATTTTGAGAGAGAGAGAGAGAGAGAGAGAGAGAGAGGCAGAGAGAGGGAGAGAGAGAATCCCAAGCAGGCTCTGTGCTGACAGCACAGAGCCTGATGCTGGGCTGAAACTCACAAACCACAAGATCATGACCTGAGATGAAATCGAGAGTTGAACGCTTAATCAACTGAGCCACCCAGGCGCCCTGACCTCTTCACTTCTGAGCAGACCTGGATTCTAATGATTTCTCTAGACATCGAATCTGGCCACTGCTGAGTAACTGAAGTGGAGTGAATCTTTTTTTTTTTTTTTTTTAATGTTTATTTATTTTGTGAAAGAGAGAGAGAGAGCGTGCTCGAACACACATGGGCAGGGGAAGGGTAGAGAGAGAGGGAGAGAGAGAATCCCAAGCAGGCTCTGCATGGTCAGCACAGAGCCCGCTGTGGGGCTCGATCCCATGAACCATGAGATCATGACCTGAGCTGAAATCCAGTTGGACGCTTAACCCACCGAGCCCCCCAGGTGCCCAGTGAAGTGGAGTGAATCTTAACGTTTACTCCCTCACCACAGTTGTAACCAGGACAATACATGCTTTCAGCGCCTAATGACCTTCATGAAGCGTTCTAAAAATGTATAGAGGAAAGGAAAGCCTGGTAAGACCTCAGGCCTTAGGGGACAGGTTATGGTCAAGAGATAAAGGGAAGTCTCAGTCCCTAGAAGGCAAGTCAGAAACTGAGCTATCTGAAACTGGTGCTCGCCGTAGCCCGCTCTCTAGGGAAATGGCAGAAGAAATGGCATTATGTTCTCATAATGGAGAAACGGCCCAGCTGACTTACATCCTTATCCTGCGGTCCACGACTTCATGTGATTTCCCTCTCCAAGGACAGGATTGGACCCAGAGTCTGAGTCTGGTGGTTAGATGCTTAGCTGCAAAGATTAATCACTTGGTGGGGCAGAGAGCCAAGTGTGACCACAGAGAAAGTTCACAGTCATTAAAGGGTACCGCTGGGAATTAATGGGAACAAGGCACTACCATAAAGAATGTCATTTATGAGGACAGGGCTTTCCCCCTCACTTAGGAATCACTGTCCTGGAAAACCCAGTTACAAGTTAGTGTTGCCTTTGCGATGGGCAATGAGTGGTGAGAGCTGGAAGGTACGCACACCAAAGTCAATGGTGTGACCAGACGGGGCCGGGCATTTATGGCAGAGTCTTGGTAAGAAGGCCACGCAGGGCAATGTGACAGGAGAAAGGACCAGGGAGAACACGTTCCCTGCTTGGTACAAGAGCCCGGGAGAGGTGGACTTGGCTGAGTCTTCTGGAAACTCTGGCTAACGGAGAAACCTAACTGCTCCTGTCGCATCAGTGAGTCAAAACAACCAATCGTTGTACCTGGTGGGCGTGTGTCCAACAGCTCCTAGGTTCCCAGGCGAGTGCCCCAAGGACAGACAGCCACGCAGAAGCTCTATCACGTTAAGACCCAGGCTCGGGGGTCACACCGTCTTCCAACACATGCTCCTCATTAAAATGACTTGTCTCCAAAGAGAAGGGAATAGGAACCTTCCGTTTTATGGGAGGAGTGTTAAAAACATGCAGACTGTTTTAAAAGCACCATCATCCAGACTCTCCCACAGATTATTTAGGCTCCTCCCGGCCCACTCACCTCCTCCCAAGATGCCCCAAGTCTCATCTGTCGTGGGATTCGACTCACAGTCTCTCCACCTGTGTCCAGGTATGGATGAGCTCCTTGGCGTGGCTCACCAAGTCCGGTGCCTTCAGTTCCCACCTTCTGGAGACTGAAGGAAAGACACGAGTCAGCGGCCCTTCTACCCTACAGCGTAGGGTAGTGCATTGAGTGCAAGTGCATTGAGAACAGGCACCGTTATCTCTTTGTATCCCCCACGGTGCTTAGCACAATGGATGTTAAAGGCTGTGGAGACACCCTCTTGCTGTTCTTATAATGCTTTTCTAAACCCTGCGTCCCTCCCTTCTCTTCACAAGTAATGGAATTCCTTATGGTTATCAGCTGTCTGCCACTGAGGCTGGGGGTTGCAGCAGTGATCAGTGGCAGGACCCCAGAGAGGAAGCAAACAGCGGTGCCCTGTGCACACTACATCAACAGAGGACACCAGTGGGGAGGGGGCTGTAGAAGGTACTGGGAGAGCACCAAACCCTCTAAGATCCCGAAGACTGTAGCAACTGTGTGTTTCTCCCAAGACCCTGCCCAGCCTAGGCTTCCCTGCCTTTGGGATTTCAAGCCAACTACAAAATCAAAGAGGCAGGCTTCACGCTGCAGCTCCCCAGACCCCCCCGTGGGCCACTTTTACAGTCAAATCAACCTGCCCATGGCCATAAACCGAGAGACAGGAAAGCACGGGTGCTGTGCTAACCAGAACCTCACTGTGCTTCCTTACAGGCCCAGGGATGCCCCAGAATCAAGGCAAATCTCCTCCCTGCCAGACTTCTGTCCCTGCCCTCATCGTCACCTAATGTTGCCAGGGGCCCATTCACACAAGGTCTCATGAGAACTGCTTCCTTTTGAAAAAAAAAAAAAATTCACACACAGAATCTGAAGCGGGCTCCAGGCTCTGAGCTGTCAGCAGAGGGCCCGACGCGGGGCTCGAACCCACGAACCGTGAGATCATGACCTGACCCGAAGTTGGCCGCTTAACCGACTGAGCCACCCAGGTGCCCCGTCATGAAAAGAACTTCTAAAGAACAAAGGATACTAATAGTAGAAGCTCATTTAATCTTTACGAGACCTTATCTGAGGGTAACAGATAAGCAACTAAGCGAGGTCCACGGCAGGCTAAGGGTCCAGAGCCAATGAAAGGCAGAGCCAGGGTTCAACCAGTTGATTCTGGAATGTGTTACACCTTGCTGTGGAAGCCAGTGTGTTTTGGGCATAGATGCTATATGACCCGCGATAATTATATAAACAGATTTCTTTTTAATTTTTTTAATCTTTATTTATTTTTGAGAGAGAGAGAGAGAGAGAGACACTGTGAGCGGGAAAGGAACAGAGAGAGAGGGAGACACGGGATCCGAAGCAGGCTCCAGGCTCTGAGCCATCAGCACAGAGCCTGACGCGGGGCTCGAACTCATGAACTTCAAGATCATGACCTAAGCCTAAGTCAGACGCTTAACCGACTGAGCCCCCCAGGCGCCCCAATATAAACAGATTTCTAATATAGGATTATGATAAACATATCCTACCTATAGTTCAGGAATTCCATGAAGACCAATAAGAACTCACTGAATTGAACGTACATCAATTGAGAGGTTACAGTGATTGGCTACCATGTATCGGGTGCCTTTCGGAGCCAGGCACTATACTAAGCACCTCACATAGTTTATCAAAATTCTTCATACCTTTGCAATGTAGTTATTACAAAAAATGGGAATTAAAGCTTTGAGGACTCAAATAGTTTGCCTAAATTTGCATAGCTGGCATGTGACTGCATTGGGTCCATACACTTCCCAGCTTTCCATGTAGAATTCCTGACATTCCATTTGACTTGGCTGTCTCTTTCCACCCCTGTGTGGTATCCACCCCCTTCCATGAAGTCATCAACCTGCTAAAGATAATTTCTTCAGCTGCTGGGTTATTGGTGTAGCAAACTATCTCTGTGTCCTCCCTAGAAGCCTATGGCCATGGAGCTGAGGTAGGGTAGCCCTCGGAACTCCCAGTGTTAGAGGCTCTGGGACTGAGGCTGTGCCCACTCTGACCTCTTCATCTTATTTTTAACAAGGTCCAGGGCATCTACGGATAGGGAAAGGGAGGAGGGCTCTCTCTCTCTCTCTCTCTCTCTCTACGGTGTCTTGGGCCCCCAAGGCTGTCTGCCAATCACTCCTTTCTTTTGTTTCCCACATGCAGCCTAAGTCAGAGGCAGAGAGACATCGTTCTCCAAGCTAATTCTTGTAGGTCACGTCACTTAGACCCGGCTACACCCAGACGGATGAGGGGAGAGACAAACCTCTATATTGCCCAGGTGCCACGTGCCCATCAAGGCCCTCCTTCATGTCCAACGGGGAGTTTTCTCACCAGCGCTGTGGAGTAAGTTAAGTTGGGCTGTCTGGTGCCTCGACCACAGCTCTGTAAGCTTTCCCCGAAGAGCTCACCTTGAGAGATGGGAGAAAGCAGGAGGTAGAGATTATACACACTTTGTCTATTGTCTATCCTTTGATCAATATTAGATGTGGGGCTTTGTTGTTAGTTGTTAATACATTAATAACTTTTATGTATTCCTAGTGTAGTGACCCTTTTTATTATGAACGACCCTCTTTACTCTAGCAATATTTCTTGTCTTTGAGTTTATTTTTCTATGACATTGTCTCTCCAGCTCCTTCACAATTCCTGTTCGCATAGAATATCTTCTTTCACCCTTTTATGCTCAAGCTATTTGCATCCTTGAATCTAAAGTGTTTTTCTTGCTGGCAACATATAATTGGATTTTGTTTTTTTTATCAAGTTTGAATATCTTTGTCTTTTGATTAAAGTGTATAGAATACGCACATTGTCAAAAGTTCATAAATAACGGAAGTAGAACCAATGAATGAGTAATTAGTAGGAGTTTATTGTGCACACACCAAAAAGTTTGCAAACCAGGAGCTCTGAAACCAAACAGGGGCAGAGGCTAGAGGGGCATATTGTAGTGAGAAGGCAGTGGTTACTTATTCTTCATAGTGACTGTTTATAATATTGGAATTTTCTTAAACAATAGTGAATTGGTTAGCGATTACCTCCTATCAACCTTGGGAACCAGTTCAAGTTCTGCTTATGATTTTCAGGGGCATAAGCAAGAAAGGACCCAGGTTCAGCTAAGTGAGCTTTGCTTGTATGACCAACCTGGTTTTTGTCTGCTCAGGGACTTTTCCAGGTTGGTTTCTGTCTGGTTTTAACAACATCTACTGCAATTGTTGACACGGTTGTGTTTAGATCTCATCGTGCTGTTTGTTGTCTACGGTTCTCACCCACTTTTGTTCCTCCTCCCTTTCTTTACTGCCTTTTTTGTGTCCAATTTTTTATGGTGTGGTTTTTCGTCTTCCGACTTTTAGGTGTATTTCAAGCAACATTATCGAAGTAAATTTGACATGCATTAAACTGCTAATGTTGAAAGTTTTGCCACTGGGTAAGTTTTGACCTGTGCGCACCCATGAGCATCACGGTGCCCTGCCCTGTTGCCCCGCCCACCCCACCTGTCCCCGCCCCATCGCCCCGCCCACCCCACCTGCCCCCGCCACCCACAGCGCAAAACCACTGCCATTATTCCTGTCAACATGCATTCGTTTGTATAACCTAGAATGTTATAAAAATGGAAGCCAACCATATGTATTTGTTTCATGTGACTTCACTCAACATGAATATTTTTTTAAATAATAAACAAACGATTATTTGAAGATTCGTCCAGGTTGCTGTGTACCAACGGTTCATTCTTTGAAATGATGAGTATTACTCCGTGATGGAAAGATGACAGATAAATACAGAGACATTAACACAGATATAGATGTATACTAAGTTTTGTTTACCTATTCACCTATTGATGGACATTTGGGTTTTTCCCAGGCTTAAGCTATTATAAATAATGCTGCTATAAACATTCACATCCAAGGTCTTGTGTGGATACATGCTTTTATTTCTCTTGGATATCTAGTCACTAGTGAAATCGCTGGATATTTTGGTAAGTATACTTTCATGAGATATATAATTTGAAAATATTGTGTCCGACCCTGAGGCTTGCCTTTTTGCTCTCTTCATGGTACATTTTGAAGAAAAATCTTTAATTTTAATGGAGTCCAATCAATCAGATCTTTCTATTTACTCACTCATTTTTAACCATTGCAGTCTCCACCTTTTTATATTCCTTTATTTAAAAAAAATTTTTTTTTAGAGAGAGAGAGTGAGTGTTCACGAACAGGGGAGAGGGACAGAGGGAGAGAGAGAGAATCAAGCGGGCTCCGCACTCAACACAGAGCCCAATGTGGGGCTCACTCCCACAACCCTGGGTTCATGATCTCAGCCAAAATCAAGAGCCAGACGTTCAACAGACTAAGCCTCCCAGCACCCCTATTTTAAATTCTTTATCTTAGTTTTAATTATCTGTGTTTTGGGAATCTTTTAGTCAGTATATGGTTGCATGTTGTATCTCAATCCACGGCGGTAATCTTCGCTATCCTGCAGTCTCACCTGGCAGTAGAAGGGACATCCGTACGTACCTTCAATTTCATCTTAGATTCCCCATGGTACGTAAGCAATGCCGAGCGTGCAGAAAGCTCTGGAAGAATAACAGTGGAGTATTTGGGGCATTGATCATGTTTGTTGTCTGAAAGCAGATTAAGGTTTAGGATTCATAGTCTTCCTTCAGAAAGACAAATGGTGAGGTCTGGAATATGGGGACCTCTGCAATATAACGCAAAGGCTCAGTGCCTTTTAATCAACTGGAATCAATATTTGACATCTGTCCATCCCTCCAAATTCAAAAGAACCTGCAGACATGTGCTCGTTGAGAACATTATATACACGTATGCTCCATTATCCTTTCATTAATATTAGGTGTGGCCACAGACACAGGCCTCCCCCCTTCTGCTGGAGGAGGTTGCTTCTTGTTAGCAAATGTTTGGCTCCTGCCATCCTGTGCTTGTAAAAGACCTTTTCATCACACCCCATGGAAATGTATTCTCACTCGGGTAGAGTGTGACAGGTCTCATTATACTGGCCAGGTTACAATGCAGTGGTGGGGGGAGAGCTGTGATCTTTGAGACAAACTTCACTTCCAGGTTTGTCCTGAGAGGCCCTGTCAGCCCACACCTGCCAGGCCACACCCGCCAGCCCACACCTGAGCTCACAGGTGACTGTGCTGTCTCAGGTCTCGCTTCGCCTTCTCCCTCCACCATTTTACACACATGTGTGGGAGGGCCCGCCAGAGGGCAGGTGCATGGTGCGAGCTTGTTCTCTTATGCCTGGCACACTCCAAACAATTCATAATCTAAAAACGTAAATGGTGTCCTGCCATGCACTGTGAATGGCCAGTGAGAGGCCATCCGTACGAGGGTCTGCCTGGATGTCTCCAAGGTCAGCATTCTGTAGGCCTCCTTCCTCGCGTCTTGCTTCTGGTGCAGCTCATTTGCCCCCTCTCTGCATTTCTACCACGAATCTATGCATCGCTCGATTGGGGCAGCTTCACCAGCAGCATGAACACACGTGGAAACACCGAGAAAGTTGGGTCCAGCTCCTTGGCATACACTTTGGAGATGTTGTCTATGCTTGTAAGTGATGCCGACGTGCTGGGCAGCAGAGGAAACCAAGCTCTCGGGCCAGAGCCCCTCACAGTGGGCACCACGAAGAGGTCAGTGGCTTATAGTTTGTTTGCCCGTCTGATGCCCCTTGTCCTTGACTAATCACTGGCTTTTAGGCTCTTTCAGACAATTTTTGATAATGAATATCAAAGAGCAACAAAAATACCCATTTCTGAAAATCACCCCTGCCCTCACTTCCTTAGCAATCAGGGGGAGAATTTACATTTCTGGGGTACGTGGACCAGCTTTAGTGGCAAGCATGGGCCACGGACCTCCGTGGGCAGAGGAGCAGCTGGCAGGGACCGGGTGGCCATCCTCCAGGCCCCCAGAGGACTTCCAGGCAACCCATGACCGGACAAAGACTTCATCCGCATGACGTTGTCCCAAGTCCAATCATGCTGGGCTTTCTTGGTCCAGATGCTGGTCCCGCTGGCAGGTATCTGGAGTCAGAAAGTGCTGGCTGTGGATCTTTCTCTGCTTTCGGCCTCAGGTGGGGGAAGGGCAGCCGTCTGCTGGGAGTGTGCTCCGTTGGCTTGTGTGACCACGAGTGGGGCCGACTCTCTGTGGACAAGCTGGTGACGCTGAGGAAGGCTTAGGCACATGGGTTAGGCCGAGCAGGTGCGGGCCTGTAAAGGGGACCAAAGGAGGAGGAACGTGTGATGAGATTTGCCAGACCCACCCCCAGAACCAGCTCTTTCCCTAACCTAGAACAAGACCTGGAATGAGGCATCTAACAGCCCTTTGGAGGGTTCAGCTCTGCATCTGTGAACACAGAGGTGTACTGGTGGAGTGGGCTGGGGGTGGTCTGACCAACAAGATGTCTTACTGCAAAGGGGCTTTAAGGGGACCAAACAACAGCCACAATTTCCAAAGCAAGTTAACCTGGGTACTCCAAGTCATCGGTCATTGTTTCCTTTTGTCAGAAAACAGGGTTTCCTGGGCAATTGTCACGCAAAGCTCAAATGTGCTCATCTTAAACCCTGGGAAGGGTAATCTGTCGATTACACAAAGCCTCAACAACTTTTTATCCAGTGCAGTGGTACCGAGAAAGAGTCTCCAAATTAAACTCAGTGACGCAGTCTGAGATTTCTTCTTATTAATTTCTCACTGGAAATACTGAGTGTTTCAAAAAATAAAAGAAATTTTGAATATTATCTATCGGGCATCCTTCCAAGTGCTTCAAACTGTTACCATAAAAATGCTATCTAAATGATGAGAACGTAGTTTTAAAAATCAGAAATTCATATTAACGGCCTCCCATGAAAATTTAATAGTTAAATATTGTGTGCTTTTCATTCAATTATTGCGCAAATGAATTATGCATGGGAACAACCTGGTGCTTATTTCCTTATTTACATTTATGAGAAGATCTCCATGCGGGTGGTGACTTTGGCGGGCTGTAGGGGGGGGGAGGGGACGGGGGGGGAGGGGGCAGGAGGGCAGAAGCCGGCTGCACTCAACAGCAGCGACCGTCTGAAGCCCGAATTGGAATAACAGAACAAGGGTTTGAGAAATTCGGTGAGCCTTGACTGCTTTGGTTCCTGGCAAACAGTACTGGCCTCTACGAACACAATTCCAGAGCCGTTGCTACACCACAGCGCATGTCTCGGGGCTGAACTTGGAGACAAACCTTTCTGAACAGCCCATGATGCCCAGCGCCTGTATTTTGCAAATGAGGACAGGACACGACATCTCTTGCTTCGGGTCACAGAGCCTCGTCCTGGTCTCCTTGTCCTTCACCTCCGCTCCGTCTACCTGGAAGCAATACATAATTGACTCTCCCCACTCAGGCCCACTTGAAACTTGGCCTCTGGAGGCATCCTGGCCGAGGCCTGGAGCAGAGGGTGGCAGGGATCTTTACGTCCCGTTCTTCAGCTGAACTTTGAGTCCGACCACGGGTGCTGCCTGGGTCTTCTGCTCTGCTCCCAGGTCCCACGGCTGGATTCTCGCCCTGTGTCCGGCTCCGACTCCAGTTCCCAGACCCTGATCTCAGATACTCGCTCCCCTAGCTCTCCTTGGAGCCAGCGGTTTGGGATTTGGCCAGGTCATCTGCTCTGCTCCTGCTGGATTTGGCAGTGGCCTCTGTTCTTCTTGCACATTCTCCATGGTAGGCGCAGTTCCTGGAAACCTAACTACATGGTTGACCCAAAATCGATGGCTCCCGGCATCACTGCCTACTGGCCGCCATGCCCTCCGCCCGAGTAGCTGGCCAAGTGCACCGTCTGAACCTCCCGGCTTTCTGCTGCCGGGTTGCTTCCTGCTCGGTACAAGTGAACCGTGTTTGCAGGAAATCAGCTTCCGGGTTTCACAGTCTCCTAAATTGGGCTGTTCCGACTCCCCCTAGCTCCCACCCTGCAGCATTCCAATCTACCTCCCAAGAGGGAGTCTCTCCGTGGCTTGGACCTCAGAACTCCCTCTGCCCTTCTCCTTTGGACGCTGTGTGTTGGTGGAGGTGCATCACCAGCCACCGGAAATCCCTAACAGGGAACAGCCAGAGAGGGTTCCCTCCTTCTACCCAGCGGAGCTGTTTGAGGTATCTCCTTTTTGCCCTTCATTCCTGTCCTTTCCTTACCCCTCTCTCTTTGTAGGATGCTGTCCTCCGACACCAGACTCCCGGGCCCTTTCATCAACTGGTCTCTGGCCAGAGTCAGCCAAGGGAAGACTCTGCCGGGGAACATGGCCCTTTCCTGTTTCAGGCAGTGCGCGTGGCAGTGGCCACTTCTCCCGCGAGGTTGTGGCTCCTGCAGACGGGCCCTAAGCCTCCCACTGAGGTCCCGGCTTCTGAGGAATGCACACCTGCGAAGGGGCTGTTATCGCATCTCCTCCCTTCGCACCGTTGGCCAGGGCCGTCCGTGGTGCTCCTGGGATGGCTCCTCTGGGCTGCCTCACGGAGCCCTGTTGAGATGACTTCCTTGTCAGCTGCCTCCTGCATTAACTGGTAGTCTTGGGGGGTAAATGGAGTCACACTATATTATGCATATATCAACTTTAATGAGACCATACAGCTTCAGTAAACGATGGTATAGTTTATTTATTTATTTTTAATGTTTTATTTATTTTTGAGACAGAGAGAGACAGAGCACGAGCAGGGGAGGGGTAGAGAGAGAGGGAGACACAGAATCGGAAGCAGGCTCCAGGCTCTGAGCCGTCAGCACAGAGCCCGATGTGCGGCTTGAACCCACAAGCCGTGAGATCATGACCTGAGCCGAAGTCGGACGCTCAACTGACTGAGCCCCCCAGGCGCCCCAACCATGGTATAGTTTAGAACTGTCATCTTAATCACCATTGTTACCCCCTGTTTTGAAAACTGAATATGGAAAGCATATCCTTGCAGGAATTCTCAGATCATTTAACATGTTTAGTCCTATTCATATTTAATTTTTTTTCAATTTCTCACGTTTTAAACTCCTCTGACGACAGCTACCTTTCTGTGCCACGTCTATTAGCGACCAAGGGGGATACGTTTCCACGGCCTATCCCGAGAATATTAAGTAGTAAATGAAAAGCACATGGTTCATAACAGACCTCAAATATCCCTTCTTTCCTTCTTGCTTTCCCATGCCGCCAGCCTGTGGTTGTTTTAAACCTGCAGTGGAGAGCCTTTTCATCTCTGCTTTTCAGTGAATGAAAATCTCATCTCTATTTTTTCCAATAGACTATCGGGTCCATGAGGGACTGTGGTGGACAAATTCTGAGACTGTCCCCAAAGTTCTCAGCCCCTGGTATACACACACCTCTTCCCACTTATTGGAACACTAATCAAGGTGCTGCTCTGAAGGGCGTTCCAGAACTAATTAAGAGCCCAGATTAGTTGACCTTAACATAGGGAGATGATCAAGGTGATCTAGTGAGGTAGCCCTTAAAAAAAAAAAAAAAAAAAAAGGCAAGACCTTTCTCTTTCTGGAGAAAAAGATTCAAAGCATGAGGGTATTCACTGCATGAGAGGTTACTGGCTCTGAAAATGGAAGCAGCCATGTGACAAGCGATATAGGTGGCCTTCTAGGGGCCAGAGCAGCACCCGTTGACAGCCAGCAAGGAAATGGGGACCTCAGTCCTGCAACCACCAGGAACTGAATCTTGTCACAGCCATGTAAGTTCCAGATGAGGATACAGACGGGCAGACCCCCTGAGCAGAGAACCTGATCATGGCATGCCTGGCCTCTGTCCCGCAGAAGGGTGAGCTGATTAGCGGGTGTTGTATGTGCTAATTTATTAGGCAACAACAGAAAAATAGCACAGGGACTTTTTTTGTCTTTTTGCAGAGGGGAAGTTTAAGCTAAGAGGACTGAAGTTGTGTCTCTTGATCTCGTATGTGACTCCCACAGGTGCCGTGCCAGTCCCCAGAGGTGGGCTCAAGGTGCCCACACTGGGGTCTCTTTCAAATGACAATTTTGTGGGGGCGCCTGGGTGGCTCAGTAGGTTAAGCGTCTGACTTTGGCTCTGGTCATGATCTCATGGTTCGTGGGTTCGTGTCCTATATTGTGCTCTGTGCTGACAGTGTAGAACCTGCTTGGGATTCTCTCCCCCTCTCCCCGCCCCTCCTGCACTCACACTCTCTCTCTCAAAAATAAATAAGCATGACGAGAATTTTTTAAATTTCACAAGACGATTTTGTTAAAGAAGACAAAACACCTGGTTTTCCATCAGATTAGTCCTCGGGGGCCGCAGTGCTTGTTTGTCGCTACCGCAACCCCTCTTGAGCTGTTGGGTGGGTGCCCTCCGTGAACTGTAAGTAAGGCCGGTCCTTTGAGCTTCCTTTTCGTTATTCCCAGTGTAGAAACAGGTGCAGATGGTGTGACTCCATTAGCGCCGTCCTTCGCCTGAGCCAGGATGTGGCCGCTGTGCGCCCAGGATCCCGTCGCAGACGATACAAGCCCAAGCCACTCCCAGCAGGGCGTCCCTCTGCCGTCGGGAGACAGATGGCTCTGTACTGGTGACGAAGCTGTTTCTGTGTTGTCCTTCCCGGCTGCTGAGTTCCATCTGCTTGTCCTTCCAAATTTGGCTTGTGATGAGAAGGTGCAGGGAGAAACTGGGCTTTGGGGATCACATGCTCTTCTCCACCTTTCACTGTTTCCTGGCGTTCCGCACCAAACTCAGCCTCGATAACGGCCCAAGAAGTAGCTATTTCCATATGCCAGTCTTATGCTCGGGCCGATGACTCTGCCCACCTCCACGGGTCAACCCAGTGTACATCCAGAACGCCACATGGTATGACTGGGAGACTCAGGACCGTTGACTCTGCTCTGGGCCCAGCCTCACAGGGTGGCTCTTGATTAAAGGAGACCTTGTACCACCATCACTGGAACATACCAACAAGGCTTCCTCAGCTCCTCTTACTACTCTGTAGAATCTCAGTTGTGCATGATGAACACGTTCCGGAGATCGAATGTACAGCACGACGGGCAACAATACCTTATACTTGGAACTTGGAAGAGTTAGAACCTAAGTGTTCTCATCAACACCACCACCGAAGAGCAACTGCGTGAGGTGGTAGATGGGTTAATTAGCTTGATTGTGGTTATTTCACAGAGTATATGCATGTCAAATCAGCATATCGTACACCTTATCCATATACCATAAAAAAGAAAAATAGGGTATAATTTCCACTCTCAAGTAGCTGACAGTGAATAACATACAAATTTCGGTGAGTTGCTTGGAGACACAGACAATATATACTACGTAATGTCCCGAGCCCAAAGAATCACTGTGGGTTGAATTTGATTGGGCATTTTTGTGGAGGACATAAAACCTGAACTGGACCTTGAAAAATTAATATCCAGTTATAAAAGCCTGTCTTTATTTCAGAGAGGCACATCAGTAAATCCACCCACTGAAGAAAATTTGGAAACAGAAAAGATTGGAGAAGGCAAATATTTCCTATAATCCCCCAAGACCAAGATACCAATGTGTAACGATCAGAATAAGCTTGTAAAACTTTTATTTTGCCCATTCTCCTAGTTTGTTTCTTGTATCTTGACTAGAATGTATACTTCATCTGGTGCTGATACAGTTTTGGGACATCTTAAAAATTAAGCACGGTGTAGAATACAAAAAAATTTCTTAAATTATAATAATCCCCTCATCGCCCTAGTAAAAGCTTCTTACCTTCTGTTAATTGATTTTATCCTCCTTAGCTCCTTCATTTCCAAGGCAAAAAAGTATTGATTTACATTTCCACTACTTTCTGAATTCAAATTTTCTACTTTATTTATCAAGCTTTCTACTGTTACTGAATTCAAATAGGAATGAATTAGAGAATACTGGGTAACAAAACAGATGCACTTAAATACAGTTTTGGAAAACACACATCCGTGTTGTTTAAATGCAAGAGAGTCGTAACACTGAACGACCCTAGTTGCCAGCAGAATTGCTTTTACTAGATTATAATACAGCCTGTGTTCATTGCAACCGAATGTTCTCGTTTCACCTAGCAAAAGAACATAAAAAAATCTTATCAAGGGGAGCCTGGTGGCTCAGTTGGTTGAGCGTCTCGACTCAGGTCATACATGACCTCATGGTTCCTGAGACCGAGCCCCACGTCTGGCTCTGCACTGACAGTGTGGAACGTGCTTGGGATTCTCTTCCTCCCTTCTCCCTCCCCTCTCTCCCCCTCTCCTGCTCTCTCTCTGTCAAAATAAATAAATAAACATTAAAAACCACCTTCCAGACTGTTATTGAACTTGTGCATTAGACAGCCCCCTCAAATATCACATGACTCAAGTATGCCTTCGGCAGGCCTGGATTACTGTCTACTCGTGCGTGAGTTCTCCAGCACAGAAAGTCATTGAGGCTTATCGACACATGCACGGGGAAGAGCGATCGTTCTGATGTGGCAGAGATCCAGTGGGACGAAGGGAAAAGTGGGATTAAGAGCGGTGGCCCTACCTTTCAGACTGCAGTCTCGTCTCCAAGGGGTGGGACACAGATGTTGGACCATCAGACCTGTGCTTGAGGATATCTCAGGGCAAGTGCTAGTCAACTGTTCCTTGGTGTTGATGCTCCGTGGTATTGACTGGTTTTCTTGGCTGAATGTGAATCAAGATGCATCTTGGTGCATCCCAAGAATGAGTAATTCATACGATTCATCCTCAAGCAGTCTAATCAGTTGGCGTGGGAGCACGGCTACTGAGTATCATCCACTTACGCCTTACACCACACTCAGCGCTCTCAACTCGTTTTTCACATATTTGAGGCTGAGCACCTTAATTTCGCCTGCACCGTAAAATATTATTGCTCCCAATATATTTCTCCAAAGAGGATCCCAAAGGTAGGGCTTGTATAAAATATCATTTATTCCTCCCTTTAACTCCAGACCACAAGGAGTGTGGGTCAGGCAGCCTGGAGGTGAGGATGGGGCAGGGGGCGTGGAGGGGAGGTCTGGGCCACCTCTGGGTCATCCAGCTGCAGTGAGCTAGACGGTCACTCCTCGAGAAAACGACACACACAGCTGTTCTGTTGGTGTGTTTCCTCTGAAGGTCTTTTTCTTCCTCTCTCTCTCTCTAATTATTTATAGTCCTGAGAAATGAATTTATTGCCAGAAGTCAGAGCTATAGATACGAAGTGTCAGACCCTCCACCCAAGGAGCTGTTACTTCCCGGTCTGCCTCTGGGCCCTCCCGCCATCACCCTGCACTCTAGCAGTCCGACCTGCCTAGTCACATGTTCCTGCAAAGAGTAATCGTTTTACCCGCCGACAAGCCTCCAGGTTGAACTTTATCTTGGAGAAGGTAGAAAAAGCCCATAGATAAGGTTGTCCTGGAATTTATATCAGGTATCTGGCAAACTGACTTTACTAGGTAGGTAGGTACATAAATCAGCTCAATTCCACAATCACTTCCATTAAAAAAATTGCTTTCAAAATTTAAAATGACATATCAATATATACAAAAGGTAAGTAAAAATTCTTTACGTTAAGCAAACACTAAAAATGAACGCGGGCAGAATAATTATGCTTGGAATCTACGTATGTCTTCAGATGCTGAGACCTTAGAGATCACGGCACAAGTTTGCTGAATGAAAGATAGTCTCAGTTCTGTTTCTTTTGAAAATATCAGCCCAAATATTTTTGCCTCCGTTTATACTATCTTTGCTCAAAAATGATTTTTACAAGATAAACCATATCACATTATTTGGAATGTTACCAAATCTGGATGCAAAATATCATTGGCGTTCTCCATTTTATCCTACTCCAGTACAGAATGTAATTCATCATTTTAAAGTGTTGAGCTATTCCAAAGTGCATTTATGGAATTTGAAATTAAATTTTGTATGCTATTTAAGATTTCTTGATTTAATGTATCTGGCCCTTTGCTTTTGAAGGGATATTTCAGTGTCCTTCCTGAATGATTTGTTCCAAGAATTCACTAAACACTAAAATCTAATATTTCTGTGGTATTAGATGTTGAAATTTTTGTTTCTTTTTTAAAGTTTATTTATATATTTTTAGAAATAGAAAGAGAGTACGTGGGAGGGGCAGAGAAAGAGAGAGAGAGAGAGAGAGAGAGAGAGAGAAAGAATCCCAAGCAGGCTCTGCACTGTCAGCATGAGCCCGACGTGGGGCTCACACTCATGAACTGTGAGATCGTGATCTGAGCTGAAATCAAGAGTCTCTTAACTGACTGAGCCACCCAGGTGCCCCAGGTGTTGAAATTTTTGAATGAAAATTCAACATGACTTTGAACAACATGCAGTCAAAATTTAGAGGATTCATTCACTAAAAACTGAGTTTCATGGCACTGCAGGAATTTTAGATGGATTCTGGGGAGGCTGTCTGAGGTCAGACCGATGACATTTTTAGTGTATCCAATGTCAGGTTTCCTCCCCTAAAGTTTGTTCTTTGGTAATTCTCTCTCTCTCCCTCTCCTCCCTCTACACACACACACACACACACACACACACATGCACAACATACACATACACACAAATACATGTACACACACATAATACACATGTACACACATACATACACACACACGCACACACCCTGCAATACTTTACTAATCAAAATAGAGGGCGCCACCGTTTTCTTAATAAAATATTGCTTTTCCTTTTTTAAAAAATTTTTAACATTTATTTATTTTTTGAGAGACAGAGAGAGACGTATTATGAGCAGGGGAGGGGCAGAGAAAGAGTCACAGAATCCGAAGCAGGCTCCAGGTTCCGAGCTGTCAGCACAGAGCCCGACGCGGGGCTCGAACCCACGGACCGTGAGATCATGACCTGAGCCGAAGTCGGACATTTAACCAACTGAGCCCCCCAGGCGCCCCAGTTAAATATTGCTCTTCCAATGTCATTCATCTCTACCAAAATTTGTAATATCACACAGAACCAAATAACGTTATGTTTGCCGCTTCTCTCTGCACTGACTTTGCCGCAGCATTCAGTGTCGCTCCAGCAGTGTCAGCTTCGACAGGGTGCACCCCCAGCATTTCCTCTTTGCTTCTGAATTTGCAAGAACAAGGTTGGGCCACAATCTCAACGTATGACGCTCATCTCCCGTTGGAAGCACCTGATTACAATGACATACAACCGCTTTCAACCATTTGAAAAGCTCTGCGGCTGCTAATGGAACCAGAACATCAACACCACGACAGCCACTTCTCCCTCACGTGGGAAATCTGGGAAGAGTAAATGAACGTGATTCACTCAGAGCAGTTCTCTGGTGGAAAGCAAAACGCCTTTGCAGAGTGATCTGAAAATACACCTGTGGCAGCTGTCAGTCATCAGTCTGGGGCACAGTCTTCTTAAAGTCATTCTTCAGGTGTGAGGCCCGTGCTGGGTTTGTTTCGGTGGATTTGCTCTGGTTTCCCGTGGTCACTGAGCTCCTGACTTCCAAGACCAGGGCTCGACATCGCCTCTGAACCCCAGATCCAGGCCCTAATTCCCTGACACGGACGGCTGACGGCTGATTAGCCTCTTGGAATCTACCCAAATGTTCCTCACTCCCAGCTGGGACACCTGCCTCCGACTGGATTTACTCACGCCTTTGCCCTTCCTAAACCACCACCAACCTTGGGGGTCCCTTTCTCTGTGATTTCCCTGTGACCCCATCCTGGCCAGCAATCCACTCCCTACCTGGGCACGTGGTCTCCCTCCCTCGCTCACTCACCCAGTATTAAGTCTAGATTTCGCCTTTCTGTTTGCTGCGCCTTAATCCCCTGTGGGGTAAGCCTCTATTTCCTGCTCATCTAATACATAATGGTGGCAAGTTGTTGTCCTTTGAGGAAATGGTCAGGAGACAAAATGGGTGATAGTTAATTTGGGCAGTTTGTGGCTTTGTTTCGACAACGATAGAGGCCTCTTTTAAAACCTGCTGTTCACAAATGCTATTCCAATTAACTTCACAAGCGTCCGTTTGTATCCTGCCCGGGAAAGTGGGTCCCAGTCTTTGCCAAATAACTCTGGACGCTGGAGATTTTTTTCTTGGGTAGTTTTTCTTTCATTATTATGTGGTGACGTAGGTAAAATTACTTGGTGCTGTTGTGATGTGGGTCTGGTGAGAGACAGGTCTGCGCTTCACCCACGTGTTGGCAGGATGTAGGGTAGTGTGCTAATTCCTGATCCGACCACTGAGTCCTAACAGGACGCCATTTCCAATGACCCCGCAAGGTACGGTAGGTGCCCAGCACTGGCTGTCTCAATGAAGCAGGATGGAGATCCAGCGAGCAAAGCCTAGATTTAAGGGTGTTTCAGAGTTTGCAAAGCACATTCACAAACACACAGGCCACCCTGAGAAAGGGAAAATGCAAAAACAAGTGCACTTACTAAAAGCATGAAGCAAGGTCAAATCAGGAAGCCGTGCTACCAAGACCCTGGGGTCCTCGTCCAAGGCTAATCGGTGATATTCTTACAGACTTGGGGATGGTTGGAGAATGGTTTGTTGAGGTTACCAGAAAGAAAGACCACCCCTAAAGCAATCCACATTCCCCCGAGATCCTCCTCTACCACGTGAAGAAATGGAGAGGGCATTCTAGCTGGCGTTACTATAAGGGACCATAGAAGTCATAGAAGGTCATAGAAGGGAGAAACTTGTACCAAGGGAGTTGGGTCCTTCTTGCATCCAGACCATGCGTCTCACACCTGTTATTTTTAGCAGGAAGAAATGGGACCTGAGTATCAGGTAGATGGATGGAACTTGGGGGTCTCTGCTGGAACTTGGGGGAGCAGCGAAGCGTAGAAGATGGGAATGAGGAGGAAGAGGTCCTCGAAGCAGCTATCTTGGAAGGTGGGGATCCTTCGGGTTCATGCTGGTGTGAGGGACGGGGCACTGAATGTGAGTGAGAACAGAAATATCAGCATCCCATGTGTCTTCTATGTAATAGAAGACACACATCTCTTCGAGGAAATGAATTGAAGGAAAAACTGTGCATTCCATACTTTAAGTAAAAAATACCCAAAGGACAAGGCTCACATTGTACTCAGCCTGCAACCAAACTCTGGAGAAGAGAGGCTGCGTCAGAAGCTGCCGGCAAAGGACTAGAGATGAAGCAAATACTCTGCTCCCGATTGAGACAGAAAAGAGGCCCATCCAAGTCATTGCCGAGAAAGCAGGTTGACCTGAGGTGGACCCACTACAAACCACAAAAGGCTGATGAGCAAATTCCAGAAGAAAACAAGCCTGCACAGCAATGCCTTCTGGTGGGCAATGATATCCCTGTTTTCCTCCACTTACTGCTGTCCCCTGTCCCGTGGTCATGTGACTGAGCCTCAACCAGTTTCAGCAATCAAAGGGAATGGACATAGCAGCAGAGTCTGGGCTTCAGAGGGAGCCTGTCTGTCTTCCAGAACCAACTCCTCCACTGATTGGCTGGGTGATCTTAGAATCAGGCTCCTCATCTGTAAAATGGGTAGAAGACGTCTCTGAGCGGCTCGCTTGAATAGACGAACATGAAAGGTACCTGTTAAGGCATGTCCCAAATACTGCCTGTGGCATAATGAAATGAAACATGGATTGTTGTTGATCTGAAATGGTTCTTTAACTGGGTATCCGGTAGTTAATGTGGGAACCCTACGAAGGTTACATTTGTTATCCTAAATAATTCTCCTAGGAAAATCCTAGCACATTGTGTGCACCTAGCAAGCATTAAAATGTTAATTACCATTATTTTTATTCTATAAAGATTATCCGTTGCAAGCCATTTATATAGTAGATCAGGAAGCTAAAGCTTGAAACATGTATGTTAACTCACTCAAGACGGCACACAGTTTTTTTATTTCTCCAAAGGCGGAACTCGGATCTACAGAGGCCCCACTGCTGAGGTCTCTATATCTCACTGGTAACAGCAGCTCTAAGTAGACTGTTCTGGAGAGTGTGGAGATCCATCCACAGTTTTAATTATTCCTTCTTTGAGCCTAATGCTAATCGCTTGCTACATAAAGTGGCCAGAGGACCAACAGGAGTAGCATCACCGGGGAGCTTGTTAGAAATGCAGAATCAAAGTTCCCTCCTTCATTAGAATCAGCCTTTCAGACAAAATCCCCAAGTGGTTTG